CATATTAATTCACATGGCTTAGCAGGGTGTGCAGTTCATCACTATAACCATCAAGAAACATGGAAAAAGAGGCAGGAACATCCAAAAATAACGCATCAAAACACCAGTGGAAATTGCTCCTAAAAAGTGACATTATCTGCAAAGAAAATTGATGCCCTGCAACCCCTCCAACATCCCTCCTACCACCTCCACACAGCTCTGATCGGGTCTGTTCCAGCGCTCTCCCCTCCAGCTACAGTTCGAGGCCTTCGTTTGTTTCCATACATGCGTCTCTGATGGCGACGGCGAATTAGACTGTCATTATCTGTCTCCATCTCCCCCACAGCTCTTCTTCGTTTTTCACCCTCCTTTTTTTTTTTTTTTTTTTTTTGGCGCACACATGCAGACAGTCTCCGCTCAGTGCGGCACTCCCTCCCTCTACGCTGCCAGGCCTCAGGTGGCAGTCATTTAAAGATCACACATCCAGGACACACATAGTCTTCCATGAATACATGTCAATTCACACATGGAAAGGGGATTACATGTCTCCTCCCAGGCAGCTGCAAATTACTATTAATGGCAATGCAAATCATTAGAGTACATTTGGTGCCGGCAGCAAATCTCTTCTTTATGTGGCTTCACTCTAATCTGTTTTGAATATTACTCTATGCTCGCTCCTGATATGTGTTAAAGCATTACTAACTACAAAGCTGTCAATTGGCGATGGCACGTCACATTTTACTTCACGGAGGGATTCGTTGCTTGATGTACAAAAAAAATATATATATATATATATTCTAGAGCACACAAACAAGCGCAAAGACGAAGAAACCTGTGAAATATAATTAGCAAAGTTCTTTATAATGAAGAAGGTAAATATCACTTCTTAACAGAGGAACCTTGATAAATTGGAACATAACTGAAAATCAATTAGATGAAGACCTCAAATTTAGAAAGTGCAAATCATAGCTAAGGTTCATAACAGTGTGAACAATTCAAATTTTACTGCTACTAATTGCTACTTAAAGCCAAAAAAAAAAAAAAAAACATTTTTGAGTTTTCAGTTAGAATATATATATACTTTTTTTACCATTCAAATGTCCAAATGAAAAAGCTCTAAATCAATACTGGATGGGTGGTCTTTTTGTTTTAATTAATGCATGAAAGTAGTATTGCATGGAGGCAAACAGGCTGTGTCACTGATGATGTTATAAAGCCTCGTACACCTTTGCTCCTGCACTTTTTCCTTCCACTCAACTTTTCATCAATGTGTTTGCAGGCAGTGCTTTCTTTGCCCATTTTTGAAATATTTTTTCTTTCCATTTGCCATCTTTAATATTAACATTCTCTGTACTTTAAACATAACTGTACTGAGTTGTATTAACTGTAAACCATAATAGTCAAAATCAACACTTGAAATTTATCTCTTTCCATATAACTAATCCATACATTATTTGAGTTTAAATTTTTGAAATGAAATACTGAAATAAGATGCACCAGTGTGACGGATAAAAGGGACATTTAAAACATCCACACTGTGGAGTGTCAGATATAAATGTAAAACTAGCTGTTGTGTGAATTCTGCCGTGTTTGAGTAATAGACTACCCCTGTGGATATTCCTGCTGAGTGTGTGAGGTTAATATTCTCTCTCTCAATGTCATTAGTGCTGGCAGAGGGGCTAAGAGCGCTGTGAATGAGACAGGGGCTGATCCTATCAACTCAGACACACCGCCTCTTCCTGCAAGCACACAAAAATCAAAGCCACTGTACCGGGGTCAACGTTCCTGAAATCAGCCTGCCCTCCTGCTTCCCTTTGCACCTCAAATCCCTGTCTGATTAATGACCCTGGACCAACCCTAGCCAGGGGATAAGGACTTGACAGACATTCCTGTCAGCTCCAACCTCATAAGCCTTGCTTGACCCCAGTTTGTCCTGGGATGAAGTCTAAGCTCTAGCAGCAACCCAACAGAGAGGCGCAAGAAACTGAAAGATTGCATCAGAAAGGCAGACGTCTATTTTAAAAGTTTCTGCAAACTGATCTCGCTGTGCATCAGAGCATTAGCGCCTGCCTCCCATGTTTAGAACACCAACAACTGTACATTGTAATATACGTCATGGTGGCAAAATACATCATCTCTCTCTAAGATTCCCCCTCCCCACAGCGAAAGAGGACTCCTCTCACAGTACAGCCATGTGTCTTGTGAATGTTTGTATTGAAAGATTAGTTGTCTATCCACATGACAAATACCCTCCTCTTTCAGTGAACGGGAGCTGAAAATCAATTCGCTGATGGCATCTCAGTCAGTGAGCACATCAATGCGGCACAAACAAGCAAGGGTTCACGCATCTTTAAGCGTGCATATAAAGCCCTAAAGTTATCTATCAGGGTCAGTCAGCCAAAGCATATTGCAATAGGGGACACTTCACATAGAGCTATGACTTATTTATGGTAAACAATATACACAAATATGGAGTACAGTACATAAAAACTGCTCGGGAAATAAGCTAATATAAAGTATTTGCAAATAAACTAAGGGGGGGAAAAAGTGCTAAATAATAGATGCTGCGATCTGTGAGGAAGAAACCCTCAGTGGCCTGTCTCCCCGTACACTCTGTCATTACAGTGTTCAGGCTCAGTGCCTGTCAACATTTCCCTGAGAGGGGGAGCCAACCCGCATTACGTTAGAGTGAGTTCAACTGTCAACTGCCAGCCATTTGTATGCCTCAGCATCCACCTAATAGCAAATAATCACTACCCCGCGCTCTCTTCATGGCAAATGATCGATGTTGTCTTGATGTCTGATGGATGACCCTGCCACAGTGATGCCCAGGCATGCATTAAAAACCACCTCTATGAAAGGCCTGTCAGTCTGATGAAGCGGCGCGCTTGCGCTCGGGCGCGTGTGCGCACTCACTGACGCTGAGGAATGCATGCACACGAACGGGGGAGAAACACGGACAAAGCGAAAGAGGGCCATTATTCAATTCCGAGCTAAAGACTAAAGTTAATTTCTTTATATTAGGGAAAAATTTTGTAATGTGACAGGACCTGTGGTGTGATTGCTCGGCGGCATTAGCAGAGGTAGACTACTCGGGGACCACCTGGGATGATTTTCTTCTTCTAAGCCTCTCTAGAACATACAAACAGCTCCCTATTACCCCTCAGTGTTCAGATTAAAATGCACAACACCACAATCTTTGATCTCCCACTTGCTGACACAAATCCTTTCAAGCCTCAACATTTTCCTGCAAAGGTAATTAGTGCTAATTAAAAAGTTTCGAAAGCAGTCTATGGCTGATGTCAATGCTGCTGCTGTTGCTCACGCTCGCCCTCCGTCAGATTACCCATCTACCCCCTCCCCGGGCCCTGCGGAAGAATGTGTCAGCTGTGTTCCTGCCTTCTTTCTGCATCGAATCTCATAACTAGACAACACCAGTCTGCCTGGAACATTTGCAGAAGCGGGATGAAATCTGGGAGCCCAGTAAGGGGTCTAAGTGGTGATTCTTCCCCGCTGACAAACCCGTGCTCTTCAGGGGAACGTGTAATGACACTTGTAACAAATATGATTCCCACAAATTGAACAGGTGTAGTCTTTAATTGGGATATCCTAGCTTTGGGGGGCTTGTAAACACAGAGTAATTACCCTGATAAGGAATTCAGTTTGTTGAAAATATCATTGCAGTGAAACATATCATTTAGCAAATGTGGCTATTTGCATAATAACAAGCATAAAGAGCCAAAACATTCATGTGTCTTAATATATAAACAGATCTGTAATTAAAGATCTTCCTTTGCAGGGAGATAATAAGAATAATTTTTGATAAAGACACAATTTAAGCAGTCAAAAAGTGCTATCACTCATTCAGTGGCCTGCCTTACCGCTTTCATCAAGCCATTATTGTAATATAATTAGCTGCCTTTCCAGCATATTATTAAGTGGCTCGCTGAGTGTCAGGTACACCAGCATCTCAGACATGGCATACGCGTACACGCGCACGCACACACACACTCACAGACACACAAAGCCATGTCTTTTCACTGAGTTTCAAAAAGATAATTACATAATCTCAGCATGGAGAGCAAGCAGAAAAGTGATAATTAGACAAGCATTCCTGCCAATTTACATATCATGCTTTGTGTTTTCTGCATATGCTACTGAACCTGCTGCACTTCCATCTACAACCAAATACAGTGATACTGTACTAGTAGAGAGGCACCAATATTCTTGCTGGTGATTACATTGGAACAATTTTACACTGTTGTTCCATAGCAACAGCTTACGTTTCAGAATGGCTCACCAAGGCACAAAACCTACTAAATCAAATAAGTGTCTAATTCATGGTTTCTGCAAAGTTTCCATAAGACAAATTTACATTTAAGATTGTTTTTCCAAGTATCATGAATTCAGTTTTACTCAAAATTATTCTTAGGGTTCACATTTAAATTTTAATTCATTCACACAAAAGCTCCTTAGGGCTAGTGTATAACACAATGAATAAAGGGATGATGACATATAACAGCAACTTGGAGCTTTTTCATGCAAACTTAAAGTTGAACATAACCTGTGATTTAACTAATATGGATCTTATGAAAAAAGTAGTATCTTATATGTTCAAGGATTCAAAAACAGAAAAGCTGAGTGTATTTTAAATGAGTAAATTAGAACAGTTCCACTTTTTATTTATCTAAAAGGTAGAAAAAAACATTTTGTTGTCATTTATAGAAATTATAATTGTTCAAAATGAGCAGTGGCTGATCAGAGCCTCACAAAATAGGTATGTCAATATGAATTAGAGTAATATTAAAATGGACTCAGTAAAACAGTAGCAAGATACTGCCAAAACTAATCAAGAGAGCATTTAAAGTCAGAGGGTGGTCTTAACCAATATGTTGCGTGGTGCTATAAAAATCTAAAATATGTTCTGCTTCTAACAAATCTATTATTAGGCTTGCTGACTGACATGGAGGTGTCCCAAAGAGACACACAGGAAAGGAAAACAAGAAGGCTATTGATTTGACCTTTAGAATAGTTCCTCCTTTCTTCATTGTTGTTTTTGTCCCATCTTACACAACGAAAGGATATAATGGGCGACGTCACCGCAGAAGTCAGTTTGAAATCAAATGGCATCATTTTAATTTAAATGTTACATTCTTGGTGACATCGCTGTCGATGCATAATTGGCACTGGTTCCTGGTTTGGATGTACATATTTAGCATTCTGTGTGAGATACTCAAAGACTTCGACAGATATGCTACTTTGATGGGATGACAGTCAAATGAAGAAAAAAAATAGAACTGCAAATCAACTGTCACGCTGTCAGTTAAGGTTTTTGTCACAAACTAGCGCATAAACATGCAGGATTAGAAATAGCAAACAAGCTGTAGGCCAGATTCACTGTCCTTGCTCTAGAAGTATGCAAATAGGCTAATTTAATCCAAGTGGAATAACATTAAAGACATGCGTCGGAAAAATCTAAGCAAATCATAGATGCTTATTGCGAGAGCACCTTTTACATTTAGAAAAAAAAAACTTTCTTAGCTTAGGCAACATTTTATTGTATGTAAGTGATGGACACGGTTTGTGCAAATGTGTTTACTGAGTTTAAAGTACTATGTATTCAATTTGTGCTAAGTGGGACTTTTCTTCAGTTTAGTATTATTCAACTTAATTTTTTTCTCTGACCAGAAAATATAATGTCTGGTTAATGAGACTAACAAGCCACTCTTTCAAAGAAGGTTATTTATGTCCACTCATGAATGGGAATATATACGAGCTACTAAAGGTGTGACGTTACAGTATGCATCTCCTTTAAAGTCAGTTTTTTTCTTAAGAGAAACAAACAAATTTGCCAATATATTATGTCTTAGGTAATTGTTTGTTGTTGAAGCATAACACTTTTAGTTCAGTCTAGTCCAACTTTCATCTGATCAGGTTATATTTTACAAATAACTAAGAAAAAACACCTACATTTCATTCAAAACTGCACCTATAATAATTGCGAATGTCCAGTAATTAGTGCTAAACACTTTTATCAGAGTTAGACAGCAGTAAGCCGGTATGACACCTTGATCAGTGGCTCTCAAACTTTATTAAAGGTAGTTACCACCTCAATAAATTCCAGGTTATCCAAGTGTCATACTCTTGAATTATCTTATATAAAATGATTAGACAGGATTTTGACCTGGCAGAAATGGAAAACAGCAATAGTTTCTATAAGGTTATTGTCTTTTTGACAAATTCTAATGAACCACAGATCAGCGTCCATGGACATATGTTTTTTTTTTTTTTTTTTTTTTTTTTTTTTTGCAGTTTGAGTTTATTGGCTCTAGATTAAATCTAGTGAGGGCAAAATGAAAAACAAAGGATCTTGATTGATCTTGGACTTCCAGTCTAACATTTTAAAAATCCCTGTATAATTTAGATGGTTACTTGCTTATATGGATTTACCTTTACTACATTGTGACCTATAGCCATTGAATTATGTGAAAAGATGATTTAGCGACACTACTTTGTGATGGTGTTGTAGCGGGATCTTACCTGGTCATGTAAAAACAGATTGTAATGGACCTCTTGGGAGAGAAAAAGAAATAAATCCCCCCCTTCCTCACAGTGTCTCCTCTCCCTTCCTTTCTCCTTGTCTTACTCGTGGCCCATTACCTTTACAGAGTGAGGCTCATTAAAGAAGGCAAGTTGAGTCAAATCTTTCTGTAATTCAGTGGAGGTGAATTGCTGTCAACATCATTAACCATCATTTCTCCAACTCACTTCAGTACTTATGAAGTGTTCTTTCTTGTGTAATGATCCAAATCTCCACCGCGAACCAGTCTTCTTCAAAGGCTCTTGAGGACATACCACCCATGCCGACGCCTGACATGCTAGAGGGCAAGATTAAATGTGGCTCCATCATTACGCTCCTCATTGTGGTTAAACAGATCCAGCACTGCATCCCAACACTCCAGCTAGCAGGTATGGTTTCTCAGAACAAAGAGTAAAAGATGGATCAGTAGGCTGAGAGAATTCACCAAAAGATGGACTTTTAGTGCAGACATGATTGAGTCCTTATTTTTGTTTTTATTTTTATTTTTTTGTGAATGCTCTGTCATTAAAAACTGATCAGCCATTTTGTCTGTTAGAAATTACAAGAGGCAGCTTGTATGATCTTTTAAAATCCAGAGCTACCATACATTTCTTGATATTGATTCAATAAGGTTTCTGATATACTCTGTAGAAAATTAGGTCCATTTAGACTGCACAACCTTGATGATGAGATATTTACATCCATACATGCACTTATATATATAAGCATATATACAGCATGTGAAGCTAACTTAGCCTCTGAAGAACATCGACATGCCAAGGAGTTAGTAACTACCACCTGGTAGTTTCTTATTCTGATGTTCAGCTTGAACTTTATAGCGAATGGTTTTTACCACTTCTACAGTCAACACCTGAATACATCCAGTTACGGTCAAGCTATTTGCCGAGTTGCTACTTATGTTATCAATGCATCGAAATGTATATGAAGTGGCCTCAGAGTGTATGTTTATGTATCCTGTCAAAAATTATTTTCTCCTGTTTGGAATCCGTTTACATTTACCTCATGAGGCCATTGGTCGGGCTAGCTCCATGGCTAATTACACTGAGAGCAGCAACTGCTTGTCATGCTAGATGTCCTCCTAGTTCTGTCTTAAGGGAAGCCTTCTTTGTGCCAAAGCCATTGTGTGTACCCCGGTGCTCCGTATCATGCTCTGCTATGGCCCCCAAGCCTTGTGTTGGGCAAAGCCTCTTTTGTGCACCCACCATTGTGTGGCCCGGTGCTGAACCCCCTGCTAGGTAGGAACACAGACAAAGTGCAGCAGGGGAATGCTTCTCAGAGCCCTAAGACCTACAGTAAATCTTCAAACAATTTAGACAAACAAAAAAGGCTGCCGTGCTGCAGTGGGAGTAGACGAGGAAAAGCAGATGAATAAGCAACATCAATTACTGGGGCTTTGACCTGCAAGCCCCCACACCATGGCACACATTTCACACCAAATCGCCCCAGATTGAAGCTGACACTGCTGGAGTAGAAACACTGACCCCTCACAAAGCTAGTGCATCAAACTTAAGAGCAAAGAAAAGCAGGGGGCACTGACAACCTACATAGACCAAGGCCAACATGGAAGGGAGACAAGAAGGAGGGGTATGAATTTAAAACAAAAACTCCCACATAATAGGTCCTAGTTTGTTTTAAAGTTAGACAAAATGGCTCAATTTGAGACTTAAGACCGTCGAATTGGCCCAGATGAGGTACAAGAGGAACATGCAAGGGGACAACCGCATCAGGGCACAAATAAGGAGCCTATGAGAAGAACAAAGCTGATGTCCAACAGGCTTACCAGTAACCCTAAGCAAGACTGGACCTTCTTTAAAGCTTGTTTGGCCTCCCAACTTTACCCCCCAAATGTGCCGCTTCCCCTAAAGTCTTTTCATTCTGACACAAAGCCTTACTCTACTTTGTAAGCTTGGACAAAAGGAAAATAAACACATGGGTCACATTTGTTCAACGCACAGTACACCACTTTGATAAAAAGATACTTTAAGAGAGTGTGTGATTTCAAAAAGGGGGGCAAAAATATATTCCATTTCCTTGGAAAAAGGTTCCATTTTCAGCAGTATTTAGATTTGAAAAAAAGCAAGAAAGCAGTATCGTCAAACATGTGAAAAGATCAGGCAATTCTAACAATTTGTCAATACAGTGCTAATTAATCTAATTACAAACCACTCTAAAAACACGATCCGAACTGACAAAATGACACGCGGTCTAACAGCAGCATAGCAGCGCACTGACACATTCAGGCACATAATGCTGTGCATAGAAACGGTCTTAAGAATTTCCCAATTAGCCAGAAAGAGAAAGGAGGGATATGTCTTAGGCTCATGGAAGTGGCATAAAACTTCATAATAGGACATGCAAGAAAAAAACGGAGTGCTCCTTTTTGCAGCTGCCTGGAAAACTAAGGCAAAAACAACAACAAAAAACCAGAAGGAAAAAGGTACTACAAAATAGAAATGTTCTGCGAGGTCTCCCTGTTTCAAAATGGAATTACTGGAAATGGTAGCGACTTGAATAATGTGATACATGCACTGTAGCAATAAAAAACACAAGGGAAACAGATGCAACAATTATAAGAAAGCCTGAAAAGTGCACTATATAATATTTATAATCAAAGTGAATGTGGGAACAATAAACTAAATGAGCTGAAACCAGTTAAAGGCTTGTAAAATGTAAATTACATTATTTCACAACTGAACACACAATATGAAATACCTTGCAGTGCATATTTATAATCATGCAAGTTTATAAACCACATTTTCAAAAATACACATAATTCTTTTCGGTGCACAGTAAAGAGGGAAATAAATTGTATCCTGCTTTCAGAACAGCCTGAATGTCACATTAGTTAAAGGTTAAAATGTGCATTGCTTTCACTCTACTGTTAATATCCTGTTAAATAATGTGAACATTATGCAAGTTATTAACAAATTTAATGAAAGCCTAAAACCAATTTTGCCTTTAAACATGCCACATTGATAGATCAAGATGACAACTATCCAGAGCAAAGGAGATTCAATCCAAACTCAAAAAAAAAGGTATTTAACAGGAATCCTACAAATTACCCCTTTTAAAATTCCACACTTTTCTAAACCAATGTCTACTCTTTTCTGTCGGTTCTTATAACACTTTGAAACTTTGAGTTAAAATCGCAGCATTTATAATGTGTATGTTATTCATTTCACAGAATAACACTTCCAGGATTGAAGGACTAACGTTTACTTAGTCCTTTAATTCTGGACTAAGTGAGAGCACGCTGCTGCTTGAGTTCTCACTAAATCCAGGAAGATAGAGCACATCACCCAGTTGTAAAGTGCTTGCACTGACTTTAACTCAGAGAATCTACTTCAAAATACTGTTAGTTTATAAACTACTGAATTGCTTAGCATCAAAATTCAATAAAGATCTGCTGTTGTTATATCGACCTTCCAGACCACTCTGATCTTCCAATTCTGGCCTGCTTTGTATCCCCAGAACTAGAACCAAGCATGGAAAAGCAGAAGTCAGCGTCTACGCACCATAAATCTGGAACAAACTTGCAGAAAACTGCAAAACAGCCGAAACAACTGAGGTCTGTTAAATCCAGACTAAAATTCCATCTGTTTAGAGTTGCTTTTGACCATAATAAATTAAAAATTGACCAACGTATTTTACATGTATTGATGATCCTGTTGATGGCGCTCGTCAAAATGTAATGTCTGTCACTGGTGTCTCAATTGTTGACTGGATGATGTTTTTATGACTTCTGATTTGCATACTTTTATGATGTAAAGCACTTTGAACTGCCTTGTTGCTGAAATGTCCTTTATAAATAAACTTGATTGATTGATAGCAAAGGGTTGTTTCATTAAATCATCTGGACTTGTCAACTTTGGATTGAAAGGACTGAATACTTAAATGCTTAAGAAATTATTTTACAAGGACTCATATCAAGTACTGTGGTGCGTCACATCAATAAAAGTGCATTAGTTTCCTTTAACATACTTTGGACTTG